GATCTTATTCCTGCAATTTCACTAGTATTTTAAAAACAGTATCTTTAGGGTTGCCACAAAGAAGAAGGAATCAAGCTATTCTCCAAATCACTTGAAGTCAGGACAAGAAGCAGTAGATGAAAACTTATCAAGGAGAGAAGCAACCTAGAATTAAGGATAAATTTCCTGGCAGTTAGCACAATTAATCAGTGGAACAACTTGCCTCCAGAAGTTGTGAATGTTCCAACACTGGAAGTTTTAAAGAAGAAATTGGACACTCATTTTTCTGAAATGGTATAGCGTTTCCTACCTCAAAGGTCCCTTCCAACTCTGTTATTCTGTTAACAGTTGAATTGCACCTAGAAACCAACTGGTAACCAATGCAGCATAATTTCCCACACCACCACATTCTGGGTGAGGTGTAGCTTCGAAGTGATTTTCAAGGGCAGATACATACATGGTGTATTGCACAAGATGATCAAAGCATGAGTGAGCATTTGAAAGGCCAAAGATGCTGGGGGATCTTCATAATCTGTAGCTGGGCTGGAACTATAGGGACCGGTTGTAAATAACATGCATTCAATCCTGTTGTATCTTTGTATTGTTGCAGAATGATTAGTTGTTTACTGATGACTTCTGTATGCATCTTCTGGCAGTTCAGAAGGTTCAATAACATTACTTAACCAAGTTTCCATGTCTCTTTTGTTTCCACTGAACTATATGGCTATGCTGGCCTAACGTAATGTTTGACTGTTTTCAGACTCTGGCAGCATGTAACCAGTGCAATCGGCAAAGAAGACCAGCACAAGGCCACTCAAGAAAAGTTTGTGTTGGAAGAGGAACAGAGAAATGTAGCACGAGAACGGAAGGAAAACGGAACAGAGTGGAACCCCTTGCTTTTTTGGCACAATGCTACCACAAATGAATGGCACTACAAATATGAAGAGTGAGTGACTTATAATTTTCAAATTGTGTTCCATGTTCAAGAATTTGATGGACTTTTGTGGGAGTCTTGCAGTAACAACAACAAAAAGTTCACTTGAATACAGCCAGTTTTCAATCACTAGAGCTTTGTCTCTTGATCCAAGCGCCTTTTTTTTTGTTAAATCAACAAGTTTCACAATCTGAAAAATACTGAAAATGAACCATTGGAAGTATTTTGTTCTTTTTAGATATTGCATTTATCATCTCTTGCAATATACCTTATAAATTGATCAGTGTCTTTTACCTTTTCCTCTGTTGTAGGTGACTAATTATAACATTGATGTGACTGGATCACCACAAATTTAAATTAATATTATGCTGTTGCTTATTGAGTTACAGTTAATCATGTACTTAATGATGCCTTTTTTTGAATAACATTGTTGCTCATTTTATATGGTCTTATGCCCTAAAGATCATTCATCTGGTTTAAAGTGATCTTTTCTGATCTACCTGAGTTCAGCAATGAGCATGTGTATTACTAATTGTAATCTGGTGGATTTTCATAAGCTTCTTTTTTGTTAAAGTTTAAGTCCTTGGGATCCTTTAAATGATATCGCCCAGTATGAGAAGGACGGCGTACTTCAAACCATGCAGAGGCACTTACCCAACAGAATGTCAACTCACAAGAACATGTGCATCGGTAACCAAGTAGCACGACACAAGGTAAATTAGTAACTAGCTCTGCTGGCAGTGTGCATTTTCCAAAATATTTGAAAAATTGGAATACTTTTCTCCAGTCTGTTTCCAGAATGGTGAAAAGTCAAACCAATTCACCATGAGTCCATTCTGAAGCAAAAATGGAATACTGTGGAATACTGTGGAATTATGTAATCTCAACATAAATGCAAGAAGAATGGCAGTTAGACAGTATAATACCAGTAAGTGGTTGATATGCAGGATTTTAAAACTGGTATGTTTACATAGCTTATTGGGAAAAAATTCTCCTCACCACACCTTTGAAGCTTCACCAGAATCATTTGGGAAAAGATTTGTACAGCTTAAGGTGGCAAGCGGGTACAAAATGTGAAATACAAATAAAATTTAAAGGGAAAATATTTCAGGATCTACAAATATTGATACCTTAGAAAAACAAAAATGGAAGAAAGAAAAACGAAACTGGGTATCCTGCAGGGAAGGTTAGCTATAATCCTCTTTAATCAGGCTGTGCTATAATATGTTGTTGCAAGCTTCCACTTATAGTGCTTCCATTGTTCAAGTGTAGATTTCTAGTGCCATAATGTAGCAAATCTCAACAGCCCATCAAGAAAACACTTATTTCAGCTCATAATTTGACAAGCAATCTCCAATACAGGAGAGTCAGTCCAAATGTGTGCTAATTCTTAAATTTTATAGCATACCTAAAGTCTCTACTGTGGCTTGTATCTTATGAGCTGTTCGGTATTTCTTTACATTCAGAGTCGACACCGCAAAGCCAGTGATCAACCCTCCAACAACAGCCAGAACACCACCGAAAGTAGCTGTTCAACGCCCGAGTCTGTGCAGGAACTCTCAGATGATGAAGGCAAGTACTGTATTTTGCAGTTTGTAATATTGCCCTAACTAAGATCTGTTGATATGTCACAATAGTTCCTCAGCCTTCTCAGCCTAGTGACTTCACAATGCTATTTTGGGGCAATGAAAATTATATGTATCTGAAAGGCACTACTTTTAAGGAAAGCTCAGCTATTTTATCTAGGGCATAGTGCTCACTGAATAACATGAAATAACCCATTTTTAAAAAAAGTTAGCAATAAATTGGCTGGATTAAAAAATATATTCTTGGTTTCAAGTGTCAGAGGCCAAAATAGATTTTTGAAACGTCTTTTTAATGCTTTACATCATCTTCCCAACCTACTCCATTCCATGTACATTTGTTGTCAATTCCCATAGTTTTCAGCCAATCTGGTCTTTTATTTGTTGAAGTCTTAGTGTATCTGGAAAGCACTAGCTTGAGGAAAGCACTTCTAGTGTGCTATGTTGATTTGTGGTCTCTAGAATAAATACCATAAATTAGACAAGCTAATATTTTAATGAGATAGCAGTGTTTATAATATGACCTTTTAGTACATTTAGAACATTTAGAAAAATTTAAAACCTGGGGTTAAAAATGGTGAAACGCAAATGAAATATATTAGAAGGGGAAATAACATAAGAATTGTATCGATTTGAAATTGCTATTAGAAAAAACAGGAAGTTCCTGTTTGCACTGTATTGTGTAGATGTAGTGTATGTCTAAGTTTTGTTTGTGTGTATTTTGTATGTTTGTAAATAAAAATAAAAAGGGGGGGAAATTTAAAACCTGGTGCTTTCCTCCTTCTAAGGTTCAAAACATGCACTTCATTGTATCTGTTTTTGTGAGGTAATTTGTATGCTACATTTGGCCCAGGTTTTTGAGGATAGAGGAGCCTACAAGACTCTTTAAGACAACTTACCACAGGACAATCACCCCATGGGATAACTCAATGTTATGAATGTTAACTGCCACTGTTTCTTCTACATACTTTCCATTTTTGTCAGTGGAAATAATGTAAAAAAAAAACCAGTGGCAGATAACATCACGTTGAGTTATCCCCACTGCAAGATGGCCACAGAGTGGGCCATGGTGAGTGGGCCATGGTGATTTGTCCCATTCTGATCTGCAAAAGGTATATCTGGGTCTTTTCTTTGAATAGATCTATGATCAGTGTATCAGTGGGGGGGGACTGGTTAAAAATCATGGCATGTACATATAACATCACTTACATACATCAGCTGCCATGACCCAACTGCATAATTGCATAATTTGAGCAATGGCATCATACAAGTATCATTTCGACACATCATGGCTTGTTAGAGACACTGCTGTTTGCAAGACCTAGAATAATATCAGTGTCCAGTGAATTTAAAATTAGTTTTGTGGTCCATTCCAATTTTTATATTGCCTTTTATTATGTATAAGCANTTTTTGGTGGCAGTACAAGCATTAATCAAATTTCAGGGAAGATTAAATCAGGAGAAGAAGTGCTGGCAAATCTTGATGGACACTGGGTAAGAAATCGTAATATTCTTTAATGACAGTTTTAAAATGCATATATGAATTGAAGAGCTGCCGTTGGAATGCTGTGTTCCATGATGCTTCCAAGAAGATAACTCAGTTTAAAAGAAAAACAAGTGGAATAACATTGCATCAAACAGCTGTATAGGTGTAGATCTATCTGTGCTTGTTGTCTTTGCTAGCCCAAATTCTGAAATCTTAACTTCGGTTTCCATGTAATAAATGAACATCAACCAAAATCCAGTGTGGGAGTTAGTTATAGTAATCCACCTGGAAGGTCAGCACAGATCTTGAACACTTCAGCTTCCTAAGTATAACTTTCATATGATGAATCCTAAATTGGAGGGCTTTGCCTGAGTAAACAGACTATATAGATTGTCTTTGAAATGGTAATGCCCCTACCATTTGCTTTCCTTTCGTTCTGACAGGCATAAGAACTATAGCTACTACTAGTAATATTTATATGGCTGCCCACTCACCTTATGATGGGCAACAAAACAAAATATCAGAGCAATCACAAACTTAAAAAAATAGAACATTTCAAAAAGCAAAGAAAAAAACAACCAGTAACCCATTCAAACAACACATTCATGTAACTCACAAATTCAACACTTCCTGACCTCCCACCTGAGAGAAGAACTGAGTCTTCGGGTCTTTGTGGAAGGCCAGCAGTGTTTAGACTAATCTATTTTTGAGAAAATGAATGTTCTAAAGAGTGGAGAACACATGCTTGCCAGGTTATACATTTTAACTGATAAAACCTAGAGCCATGATGATGAACCTATAGCACAGGTGCCACAGGTGGCACACAGAGCCATCGCCCCAGCTCAGCTCGACTGTGCATGTGTGCATGCCTCCTGGTGGCCAGCTGAATTTCGGGTCTCTGCCCCGGATGCACAGGGGGCTGGGCGCATGCGGGAGATGTGCGTGCATGCATGGGGGGGTGGGTCATGCGTGCATGCGCAGGGGGTGGGGGGAAGCAGCCTGTTTTTGGTTCCAGGTAGCTTCGTGGAAGTCCACTAGACCCAAAATGGGGCGTGTGGGGGGGGGCCCCACGCACACATGCACATGGGGCAGGGAGCGCAGGGGATCACATGGTCATTGCATTATGAGTGCCAGCAAGTGTGTGCCCGCTTTCAGCACACGACAAAAAATAAGTTAGCCATCACTGACCTAGAACATGCCCCTCCCACCTGTCTAATAGAGAAAATCAGAAAATGGCATTCCCTCAAACATTGAGGCCCATGCTGTGAAAGCCTTATTGTTAATACAGCTAGTCCTCAACATACGACCACAGGTGAGCCCAAAATTTAGCTTGCTAAGTGATAAATTTGTTAGATGAGTTTTGCCTCATTTTATGAGGTGTTAAATTAGCAACTCGGTTGTTAAGTGAATCTGGTTTCCTCGTTGATTTGCTTGTTAGGAAGTCACAAAAGGAGATCATGGGATACTGAGACTACTGTCATAAATATGGACCAAGCATCTGAATTTAAATCACATGGCAATGGGGATGCTGCAACGGTCATAAATACAAAAAGCTGTCATAAGTCACTTTTTTTAGCGCCGTTGTAATTTTGAATGGTCACTGAGCGAACTGTTGTAAGTCGAGGACTACCTGTAACCATACCTTGAATTGCACCAAGAAACCTATTGGGAGCCAGTGCCGCTTATGAAGCAAAGGTGTAATTGGAGCATCCCAAGGTATGTCTATAATAGTTCAAGCTGCTGGATTCTGGACCAATTGCAGCTTTTGGATGGGTTACTGGGACTCCCTGAATTGCTGTTGCTAAGCGATGCAGTGATTAACTTCACACTTCACACATCACACTATATTGCTTAGTAAAGCATTCCCAGCCCCGACTGCAGTCATAACTCGAGAACTACCACATTGAGGTTTTTTGTAATGAATAACCCAGATATGTGACACCAAGTATATGGGATTTATCATCATAATATAAGATAGGCTCCCATCCCAAATATGTAATCATTTATAATTAATCAGTGGAGGAAATAAAGATGTAGGAGAAAATAAGGGGGGGGGG